TTCTAATTCTGGTTCAACCATAAAGCTGAACTAAAAACCCAATTTTTTCGCCAAGGTTACCTTAACTGGCCTTTTTCTTTTTCTATTTCTAAACTTAAATGTCTAACTAAAATCCTACATCCTTCTCCTTCATTCTGCTCTATTATACATGTGAGAAAGAGGAATATAATTTTTAAAATGGGAAGATCTTTGAAGGCAAGAAATGTGTATTATTAGCCACCACCATTATTCTGAAAACGCNTTGTTTTGTTTTGTTTTGTTTCACCACAAGTAAAAAGGAAAAAACTTCAAATGGGCTTCAAATTTCCCTTGTATTTTAAAAATAATAATAGATTTATAAGTTATTGAGTACTTACTATATGTCTGTTACTATGGAGATGGACGCAAAATATGGATAAAACCTAATTCTTTTTAAGGGGCTCAAAGTTTGAAAAAAACCAAAATTCTAAAGTGTTCTTAAAAACAAAAAATGTAATAATTTTGGTTCATCCAAAGCAAGTGAGTATCCATTCTTAAACTATCCTTTCTTAAACTATCTCTCTCAGCCTCTCTCCATGTGCCCCCTGCCCCATCCCACCCTGCTGCAGGTTCTAGTTGTACTTTAAAGTCTCTGATGCTTGAAATGAAAAACTCTGAGATTCAAACAGATCTGCCACAGAATAACAATCGACAACGATCCTGAGCATCCTGAAGAAGAGATGTTTCTAATTGGAGGGAAAGATCAAATCCACTCTCTGGACCTTATGTGCAATCACTTCCATTCAATTCAACCCAACGCTTACAACTATGCAAACCTCTGGGACAAATTCTATCAAAAAGGCATTTCTATTTCAGTACTGATTGCCCTATCTCTCTTCTGGACTCATATAATCTATGGTCTATGCCATACAAGTTTCTCTTAATTGTAGAATATTCTTTGTATTGTTTGCAAAGAATTCTTGTGCCACTTGAAAAACAAGTTTAATAGTAATCAAATCTATGTCCTCAAAAGAACAGGTTAGTGCTTAGTAATAAATACTGTATCAAAATATATTTATTTGCATCTTCTATGTGTTACCACTGAAAAGAATTTGCAGAAGTAGAATTTAAAAAGCAAAGGTGTTAATGATTGAAATGTCCTATTTCATGCCCTGTCCTCTTTCTTGTTCTTAACACACTTGAGCTGTAGACTTCCACATTCAAACTGTGAAAATCCATTTCTAAAATTCAAAGAATTAGTCAACAGTAGCACACCTCTCTCCAAAGATCCCTTTACACAATGAGCCCCTCCATGACCAGATGTAGAAGCAAAATGATTCCCATCATTTCTGACGTAGCATTCACATCACAATCTGCAAAGAACAAACAGTATTTCTAGAATCTGAGAAAGCTAAAAATTGAATGCAGTTGGTTGGTTTCCAACCAGCAAGAACTCAGAAGCAGAAACGTTAGTATTTTGTTTTGATCCAAATGATCAGCATAGTTAAAAGGAAATACACATGCAATGGAAACTTTTAAGCCATACATTTTCCAGAGCCTGATCTGAACCTGGGAAATGACAGCCCTGCTCAGAGAACCCTAGGAAAACCTCTACTCTCATTTTATGTTTTTTGAGGGTTAATTTTTCACTCCACCAGTACATGGATTCTGAATGCAGACCAAAAGAGACGAGGCAATCACCAGCTTCAGGGAGAATTTGGAAGAACAAAAGTTAAACTCCACTGGATGATTCTCTTTATAATACCAAAGCCTCAATACAACATCACTAAATGGCACAAAGAAAGCACACTGTGGCACTCCTTTTATTCCACCCACCCATCACCTCCACCAAAAAAAAATTAAAACAGGTTGAGTTATACACAGTATGTTTGACTGAAAGTTTTAATGACACAGCAGTTACTCTTGCAAATTACTAGCAAATATGGAGGCTTAACAGTGACTTAATATACAGTTATAGGAAAAATAGACTCTTCTTGGGGGGAAAGGCAGGGGGAAAAAACCCAAATGCTTTTTTAAAAAGACAGCAAATATATTCAGGTACAAGATCTGCATCAAAAACATTGTTTTCTTTCTTTCTTTCTTTTTGGTACATTGTAAAAACTTACCCTGAAGAGATTTTCCCAATCCCTGGCCCAGCTTCCACCCATGTTTCTGGAGTAAGCGGTGTCCAATATTATCCTGACAGACAGAACAGAGAGACAAACCAAAAATATTCCAATAATATATTCTTCCCTTTCCTAGTGACACTTTGTTGAGCAAGAGATAGTTCTACATATATGCATGCAAAAATGTGCTAATAATAGAGGAAATGTGCCCAATAAAAGGGACATTAATGTAAAAAGAAATGTTGGCTAGTATTTTATATGAGAACATACGGGGTAAGGGTCCTTTCTGATGGTGTGCTGGGCAACTTTTGTACATAACACTTTAAAAAGGATAAAAAGGGGATGGGAAAAGGAGAATGATTTATGAACTTTTAAACATTAAAAAGCATAAAATCAAGGTACTTAAACAATCATATCCACCACCTAGACAGCACCACTTCAAGATTTGTTTCTTAAAGAAAATCTACATTGTGTTTAGTTATTTTATTTATGTGTCAGGCTTTCATGATACAAAGTAAATTATAAGTGTAAGACTGCCCCACCACTAGAAATGAAAAAAAAAAAACAAACAAACAAACAAAAAAAACCCAACAACAAAAAAAAACAATCAGAGCAAAATCCAGGCTAGACTTGATTGGTTTTTTAATATATATAAAATATATAAATATTTAACTAGCATGCAGCCAATATTAAACTGAAAAAACAGTGAGGTTAGTAAAACAAGAAATTAAATTGATTAAACAGAAAAATAAAATGAGCTCAAGCACAGACTGAGTGATGCATTTCAACATGTAGTCTAATAAAAATGCTAAGATGTTAGAATGAAACAGGCCTAGCAATAAGTTAACAGTAAAGAACCATTAGTGCATGTAGGGGGAAAAAACCCAACATACATAATGTCTCATCTTCCTAGGTGCACACTGGAAAAGGTGAAATATGTATTTCAATTAAGTTGTATGAAAAGACACCAGAAACAACAATTAAGTGTCAGCTTTTGTGTAAGTGGTCAAGATATCGGAAACTTCTGCAGCACTTTGTCCAATTCTTTGCTTTTTACAGTTATTGTGAAATACCAACATAAAGCTAAAATAACCACTGACTGTATCAGAAAAAATGATGGTACTTGTCCAAGGGAAAACATTTAAAAATCATAAACACAAAGTGTTCTATATGTATTAAAATGTAATTTATAGAATTAATCTGGTATCATCATCATTTGAAAATAATCTCATATTTCCTGAAATCAATTTATAAAGCTAACAAAACCACAAATATCTGCATTAAAACCAAACATTTCATATTTTTTATGTATCATTCAGTTCCATATTCAATGATAAAATGCTCTTTGAAACCATAGAGGTGGGAAAGAAAACATTATTTTACTCTTATCTTCTCTGATAGGAAGTTAGAAGAAGATTAAGCTTCCCCAATGCTTTTTTTTTTTTTAAATGACAATTTCCTTCTATAAATTTATGACAGAATGCAAACTGAAAAACTGGGCTGAGCGGCTGATTATTTTGTTTATGGGAGGAAAGATGAGGATACTTTTTTAAAAACAAAAAGTGGAGGCAAACTATAATCAAAAACTTATTTCTAAAGCAAGAGGCTATTGTTTTAAACATATGTGTATATATATAAATAATCATTATGATACACAAAAGATCACCAGAAATTATTTTTGCTAAGAACTGAAAGAATTAGAAAAGGCTATCGAGTGTATAATCTCAAGTGATGACTTCCACATTATTAGACATCACAAAAACATAAACTAACAGTACTACTGCTGCTGCTGCTGCGACATCTTCCCTTCTCCCCTCTCAACTGAATTGTAAGTTAAAGTATTCCCTTACTCAGTACTCAGTGTTAAATTATTTATAAATAACTTTATTATTAAAAAAAGATTAAAAGTCTCCATATAAGTATTGTTACCAGAAAATGGAAAAGGTAACGAGGCCCTTATTTTACTACTGTGAAAACAAACTTACCTGTATATAAAATCCTTATTTCATATAATAATTCCTACAACTGAATAACTCTGGAAAGGACAAAGATAACAGAATGACTCCAAGAGTATGTAGTTGATTAAATTATTGTTTGATATCTTAATAGACTATTGTTGTAACTATACCTGGCACCAAGATTTGGGTATTAAACAACGCTGACAAAAATTGTTGCCCCCCATTTTGTTTTTTGTTGCATTTTTTTTTTTTTAAGAGAAAACTCAAATCTTTGGCTAAACAGAGATGAGACATTATGCTGACTGTGTTATATCATGAATGCACTAAAATAAACAGACAGATGAAGCAGTATGCTATTTCCAAAAGCAGTGCAAGTGGAGTGAAAGCATTTCCATACGAACCTGGCTTTAAAAACTGGGCTGTCAAAAGAACAGTTAAATGTAACACAAAGTAAGAAACTGTCCAATCACTAATGGTCGTTTTTTTTTTTTTGTCTTGTTTTCAATTCACTGCTTGCAAGTAATGTATTTATTAAAGAAGAGTGAAAGCATAAGTAAATTCACGAGTCAAGACCAGCTGAGAGATTCAACAGCAGCATGTTGTGACTGACAACAGTGAAAGGAAAAGCAAATGTTAAAGGGAGAGGGAGAAAAAAGAAAAATTTAGGTTATACACATTAGCACGACTTTTACAAAACCACTCAAGAGGATGCCTGTCACCTTAAAAAAGCTATTAATACAAAATGGTAGTGGCATTTCTTTTTAAAACTTTAGGTTAAAACTGTTCCTTAATTAAATCTACTTTCTCAGGTATGAATAGAGAATGAAATGTTGGGGGCTATATTGAAATATTTAGCCACTCTAAGTCCTTCCAATTATAACAAAGGCAACAGGAACTATGGACACATCTCTCAGAACCTCTTCCCCTTCCTAGAGTAAATGAATGACTAATACAGAAAAAACTGAACCTTTCCTATCATTTCAAACTACCTGCTTTTGGAGGGAAAAAAGCAGCTCTGTGACTCAGCAGAAAGAGCTAGTATTCAGTATGATCCCTTTTCCTACCAAAAAAAAAGAAAAAAGGTTTTATAAACACTGTAAAAAATCCAAAAGGATGATAGTTAACACTTCCAGGCAAACCAAAATACTTTATAGCAAAGTAGAACAAAGCAGATTTGTCTGTCTCTGAAATGATCAAAACTTTCACTATAAAAGAACAAGGGACTCAATCAATCACCAGCCTGCAGAAAATAAATAATGTATTTTCTCTGTTTAGGGTTGTGGCTTTGCCAGTTGTGCCCATGGATACTATCTATAACAGTACTTGTGCCCATGGATACTATCTATAGCAGTATGCTGGCACGAGTAATTTATAAGCTCAAACAGATAATCTAGACAGAACAAAGGCAATGAGGACGAAATTTACTTCTAAAATAGTAACTATTAGGGAAAAAATTTTTTTTAAATAAAATAGTAACTCTTTACTATTTCAGGCACTAAACTGGTTGAGTATTCCTTATCTGAAATGCTTGGGACCAAAAGTGTTTCAGATTTTGCATTTTCATAGATTTTGGAATATTTGCATATATACATAATGAGATATCTTGGGGACAGGACCCAAGTCTGAACATGAAATTCATATATGTTTCATGTACACCGTATACACATAGTTTGAAGGTAATTTTATAAAATATTTTTACTAATTTTGTGTGTGAAACAGGTGTGGAATTTTCCATTGTGGCATCATGTCAGTGCTCAAAAAGTTTTGGATTTTGGAGCACTCCAGATTTTCAGATTTGGGATGCTCAACCTGTAACAGTGACTAAAAATCTTTCAGTTTTTGTTCTTTAAATAAAATATATAATTTGGGGCTTAATTATAATCTCATAGAACAAAAAATAAATTGTAGAAAAAATTCTTTAAAATAGTTTGGTTTCAAATAACAAAGATGCATGATAAGTGGTAGGCTGTTCATACTTTAAACGTACACGAAGAATTGTGAGGAAATCCTAATTTTAAAGTAATTAATAAGGCAACTGGAAAAAAGCTGGCTTTCCAAGTGATTCATGAAGAGTTCACACAACCTGTTTATTATGCTCTGCGCTCAAAACCACAAAATGGTGGCAGTGTGGCATGTTCTTTGGTTGGAAACAAAGTTCTTCTAATTCTGGTTCAACCATAAAGTTGAACTAGAAACCCAATTTTTTCACCAAGATTACCTCAGCTGGCCTTTATTTATTTTTTTTATTTCTAAACTTAAATGTCTAACTAAAATGTTACACCCTTCTCCTTCGTTCTGCTCTATTATACATGTGGGAAAGAGGAATGTAATTTTTAAAATGGGAAGATCTTTGAAGGCAAGAAATGTGTATTATTAACCACCACCAATATTCTGAAAACGCAATACCAGCAATAAAAACAAAAACCAGAAAACTCATTATTAACTGTCTCAGCCTTTACTCTACACTTTTATTTATTAATTAAATATTAAGTAGAAAACGTTCCCAGGAACTTATCTCTGCTCCATGAAGCTGTATAACACCACAGTAACAATGATCATTTTAGCAAGAGCACCACCAATGTGTATGATGAGAGCCTGCCAAAACACAGATAAAAATTCATCTTATTGTATAGGGCTGACTACAAGTTTTTGAAAGAATATCATCTCTCAAAAGAAAACTATACTACATGTATGTCAGTGACTGGATGAATATATTAATTCTACACTGAATTTTCTTTTAGTTGACCGCCACATTCAATTTACACCATCTAGCCCATTTTCAACAGTGACAAAAATGCTAAGTCTCTTGAGTGGATTGTAAGCTTTGCTGATTGTGTATTAAAGACTCTGTAAGCAAGAACCAAATGCTACTAGGTGAACCCATGCAAACCAAAAGTTGTAAAAAATCCCCAAACAAAAAAATCTATAGCTCACTGCCAAGTTGTAAGAAATCCCAAAACGAAAAAATCTATAGCTCACTACAGATGACACAATGAAGACCAGAGAGAAAAGCCATATAGTAATGCTACACCATTCAGCTCCAAGAAGCACATTATTTATAGTGCAGTCCACATATGGTCACTGCTAAATGTCAAGTCAGCAGTCTTATAGTGT